TGGACGCGCCACTATATACGTCACTGCACTGCGACAGACCATCCAGCAATCATCATCTGCATATGCCTAAACGATTGTGTGTACCACTTTCTGTAGGGCTTGTGGAGCCTGCACTGTTTTTTGTGCTGTCCTGTCTAATTGCTGACTAAATATAAATTTCTCTTCTAGGTTCTTTAATGAAGTTTCCTTATTTTATTTCAGTTGATTTTCTTACCTCCCCTCAGCCAGGCTTATATCAGATCTAGAAAAAAGAAAGTCTACTCCTCTTTAATTTTATACTTTGTGTCTGCTTATTATACAAGCACCCTACCAGTGAGCTATATATCCTCAGCCCCTTTATAATTTTTATTTCCCCTTATTTAACCACAAGACTTACTAACATACATGCCATCAGTAATAGTTGATTGTTTTGTCCTTTAATATTTATATATTTGTTTGCTTGTTTGTTTACTTATTCATTCATTCATTAATTTATTTATTCATTTATTTATTTATGGTTTTTCAGGACAGGGTTTCTCTGTGTAGCACTGGCTGTCCTGGAACTCACTCTGTAGACCAGGCTGGCCTCAAACTCACAGAAATCCACCTGCCTCTGCCTTCCAAGTATTGGGATTAAAACTGTGTGCCACCACTGCCTGGCTTTTGACCTTTAATATAATACATGAAACATCCAACTACTCCTTTTACTAAGTATGATATTAAAAATATTAATATGTTAATTTTGTTTTAGTCAACATCTTAGATAAGGAAAATTTTTCCTGATAGTAAATTTTCATTTTCAAAAGTTACTAATGTCAAAGTATCCTTGTATTCTTGAAATACTTTGTGCTTTACCACAAAAAATTATCAGTGCTGCATTTTCTTAGCAAACCAAAACTTAATTTCTGCTAGGCATTAGAGGCAAAATTAGAGTTGAGGCCTACACTCTCAATTCTCTGAAGGTAGAGGCAGAAATAACTTGTGTTCAAGACTAGCCTGGACTACATAGTGAGAGCATGTTTCGAAAACAAAATAAAAAACCCCAAATCCTCCACAAAAGTCCAACTACAATAAATCAAACAATGAAAAACTTAGCCACCTTCTGTATATGATCTAAAAAAGTTTATGCTAAATTTTCTTTTCCTTTTTGATTTTACTTCTGATAAAAATGCATATGTAAGCTGGGTGTTGGTGGCGCATACCTTTAGTCCCAGCACTCAGGATGCAGAGGCAGGCAGATCTCTGTGAGTTCAAGGCTGCCCTGGTCTCCAGAGTGAGTGCCAGGACAGGCTCCAAAGCTACACAGAGAAACCCTGTCTCGAAAAACCCAAAAAATTGCATATATATGGGATAAAATTGTAGAAAAAACTATAAAATATGCTTGAACTATTTTGAGAATATTTGCTGAGTGCTATGCATGCCACTTAAAATTTTGAATTATGATAATTCTTTGGAAAGTTAACTTTATGAAATACACCCTAATTGCTGCATATATCTAAATATTTGCTTCAATACAAACATTATCAGTGAACTAATAAACATTGTTTACTATGTATTATAACTGTATTGTACTATAATATCAAAGGAAAAGGACTACTATGATGACATTCACAGTTTAAAATGTGCTTAATATGATATATTTTTGACTACTATGGCATACCTCACACACAATCTTTTTTTAAGAAAAAAAGTCTATCCAGGATTTTAGTACTCTACCTATAAACTTTTAAGGAAATTATCAACTTTTATAATTTCTCCTCTTGTATTTATTAGCCTATTTAATTTCAGCTATTTTCACATCCTTACATTTCTTCATTTTGTGAAAACTTTTCTCAGAGATGAACAAAAACACTACAATGATGTAATTTTCTCTCTATATATCAAAGATTATTCACCAATCTAAATATACATTCTGTCAATAGCTTTTTCTCCCTGTTGCTTAATGTCTTATTTATTTTTTCCAAATAATTTGGATTTAACACTCTGCTCTTCTATAATTTATTTTTTGATTATATCATTATTAATTACTTCACTATTTATGTGTATGATTATTTTCCCTGTATATATGTACATGCATCACATGCATACCTGGTGTCTGTAGAAGTCTAAAGAGTTCATCAGATTCCCTGTCCCTGGAGTTAAGGATAATTCTGAACTTCCATGTGGGTGTTGGGAACTAGGTTCTAAGCAAGAGCAGCAAGTCCTCTTATGCTCTGAGCCATCTGTCTACCCCTTATTATTTCCTACCTATTTTATACTTGTCTTCATATTTCTTAAGTTGATTGCCTAACTCACTTATTTCCATTTCTAATTTTTTAATAACTGTATGGCATTGAATTTTTCTTTTAGTAAAAAGCTTTATACTGTATTCTAGTAAAAGGATCTCATTATTATTATCTATGAATAATTAATCATCATTATCATATCAAGTTATTATGTTTAATTAAATGGATCCATGATGGGGGATGTCCTTCTGTATATATGTTTCTCTTATTGGTTGATGAGTAAAATAGATAGATGCAGGAAGATAGGTGGGGCTAGGAGATGGGGAGAATTCTGGGAAAGATAGGCAGAGAAGTGCCGTAAAAAGAAGCCATGGAGGGACCAGGAGGATAGGACACGCAAGACATTCTCTAGCAAGATAAGGCCATGTAGAAATACATAGATTAGTAGTAATGGGTTAATAATAAAGACAGAGGTAGCCAATAAGAAGCCCTAGCCATCAATTTTATAATTAATATAGCATCTCTGTGTATTTATTTGGGTCTTAAGGGCAGCAGGACCTAGTGGGACAAGAAAATCCAGCAACAGATCCAATGTGTGATTAAGACTAATTTCTAAATTATCGTGCTTTTATTCTTATATTTGAGACTTGTGAATATATGGATGTTTTGTTCGTCAACTCCATGGGCATTTAAAAAATTGTCTGTGTTCATAACATACAATCTAACTTACCTATTTTATATAACTAATTATGAGATTCCATGGTCTTACTTTTTTATACTTATCTCCCATCTTATGAGACGAACACATTATATTTGTATTTGTCCTACTTTTTCCATTTTGTTTGGTGTTCTAATTTGGTATTTCATAAAATAAGACTCATAATTACATTCCTTATTATTAAGTGACTTTTTATTTGCATAGAATATTCTGATGTTTTACGTACCAATATTTGAGTAATTTTTAGATAGATTTTTCTAAACATCACAAATTTGGGATACTTTTAAAATCTAAACTAATGGCTTTTTTGTAGTACTGGTGATCAAACCCAGGGCCTCACAGATGCTAGGCAAGCACCCTACCAGTGAACTATATCTCAGCTTGACATTTTAATAATATAGCTAATCTCATTTGCATTTGGGGTAATTTATAATGATATAAGGAAAATAATTATTTTTTAAAGATTTTATTTATTTATTATATATATAACATTCTGCTTCCATGTATATCTGCATACCAGAAGTGGGTACCAGATCTCACTACAGATGGTTGTGAGCCACCATGTGGTTGTTGGGAATTAAAATCAGGACCTCTGGAGAACAGCTGGTGCTCTTAACCTCTGAGCCATCTCTCCAGCACCCTTATTTTGTTTTTAATGTTGGCTTATTTTATCACTTGATATAAGGTCTTTTTTTCTTTTGTCTGCTTTCATTCATTATGATCACTTGAAATGTTTAAATGTATCTTTCAGATAATTTACTGTGTTCTGATACACTCAAATCACTATCTGACTTTATCTCAATTATCTAATTCACACCACTAAGGAAATGAGGAAATTAGCATGCAGACTTACTGCTTTTACTTTATCCATCTCCACTTATTTTTAAAGAAATTAATTTTTATGAGTAATTTATTTTATGTGTGTGAATGCTTTACCCTCATGACCTATGGAGGTCAGGTCATTGAGCCCCCTAGAACTGGAATTAAGGATAGCTGTGAAACACCATATGGCTAATGAGAATCAAATCCAGGTCCTAGTCAAGATCATCAAGTGCTCTTAAGTGCTAAGCCATCTCTCTAGTCTCTAAAGAAGTTTTGATTATGTTTTATTTATTTTGTGCATGCATACATGTCATGGCATGAATAAAGAATTCAAAGAACAAATTATAGATGTTGGTTCTCTCCCTCCTACCACGTGAGGCCTAGAAATCAAACTGAGGTCATTAAGCTTGGGTTGGCCGCAAGTATCTTTACTCAATGAGCCATGTTATTGACTCCCACCTCAATTCTTTTTTTCATTGGTTAGTTATCGTATACCACAGTCTGTTCAATAATTCTATTTCCACACTTGGTTGGCCTTAGTTACTCCATTTAATGAGATGTAGGATTATAGTAGATTTGTCTTGGGTTCCTGTAGCTGAGATGGATCTGTTTTTCCCAGAATTTCTCCCCTACATAACTGTATATCTCCAGGTGAGTCTTTCTGTCTAGTTGAACTCCGACAGTGCTAGAGTTCAGAATCAATCCTTGCATACCGTCTTTTCTTCACTGGTGAATTATGATTTATCATGTGACTGACTTTTCATGTTCTTTCTTGACTTTTGCACATTTCTTTGTATAGTTCAGCTAAGTTGACATTCTTCATAGTTGTAGTTTCAGGTTTTGACCATTCCTTTGCTTCAGTAAACATGAAGTTTTCTCCTCTGCTTTTAATTTAAAAATTTAATAATTTATGTTTTTTTTAAAAAAAACTGCTTTTGCCCAGGTGGTGCTAGTGCATGCTTTTAATGCCAGCACTCAGGAGGCAGAGGCAGGTGGATCTCTTTGAGTTCAAGACCAGCCTGGTCTACAGAGTGAGTTCCAGGACAGCCAAGACTGTTCAACACAATGAAACCCTGTCTCAAAAAACAAACAAAAAACAAAACCAAAAAATTTGCTTTTGAGGTAGTAAAAGAAGCTGAATTTATTAAGCAAATGTTATTTTTCACAAAAGTACTTTCAATAAAATCACTAACCACAGAAAATCAAAATCCAAACAACACATAAACATTTAAAAAACAATGAAGTCTATTTGTTACCTGCACAAAATATCCTTAGCTGCTGGACTGGTGATATAAGTTGCAAATGTGTGGTGAACAGATCAACAAAAGCGCCAGGATAAATAATGAAGAGAAAAATTCCAAAGCCATTAAATCGAACTTGTTCCCTAAAAAAACATGTAAGTCACAATAAGAAAAAGGAATTTACTGATATGATAGTATTTGTCAAGTTAATGATGCAATCTTAAAATTCACTGTAGTTCAACTTTTAAAAAATAATCTCCCTGGATAAATAAAACATAAAATAAAAACTAACAATACCTTTAAAATAGTGTAATAAAGTTTTGGCCTAGGCGCCAGAGAACTCTGAAATACACATAAAATGCCAAATTTTTAGGATTTTGCTATTGTTGAATATATTATTGAAATTTGATACATATAAAGATACAGCTAATACGTCTATGAGAAATCAATGACAGAAATTTACAGAGTACTATAAACTATTTTCAGAGGACAAGGGGGAATATATAACTCAAATATATGACTCAAACACATTTGTCTTAGTTATTATAAATAATCATCAAGATTCATGTAAGTATATTTCTGTTGAGCTAATGTTAAATGCTTTTAAAAATAAACAAAAGTAAGATAGTTATTAAAAGGAGTTTTCCCACCATTCATTTCTGAAAAAGCATATATTTAACAGTCTCACAAGACAAACAGGTACTATGAGGAAAGCACTACTACCTTAATAGTAAATATATAAGATAACTATGTAATTCATGGGCTGGAGAGATGGCTCAGAGGTTAAGAGCACTGACTGTTCTTCCAGAGGTCCTGAGTTCAATTCCCAGAAACCACATGGTGGCTCACAACCACCTTGAATGAGATCTGGTGCCCTCTGCTGGCATGCAGGCAGAAGACTATACATAATAAATAAGTAAAATCTTAAGAAAAAAAAAACTATGTAATTCACTCTGCTGGTAATGAGATTTATAAATAATGGTTCATAGTGGTAGACAGTGCTACACAGTCTGCTAGGGCAGAAAAGTCATCAGTGGTCTCACCCAGCTGTAAACCTTGTGAACCGTAACAACAACCAGTCTGCCAAGATTGTTATGTGGATAATCAACCACTTTTCTGATTGGATTTAGGTCTGCTCCACGGGAGGGAACTCATTCTTGTTACTACTATACCTGACTAAAACCCTGCATATGGGTAGGTGTGATGGTTTAATAAGAATGGCCACCATAAGCTCATATATTTGAGTGCTTAGTCACCAGAGAGTAGAAGTTTGAAATGATTAGAAGGAATATAGGGTGTGGCCTTGTTGAAGGAAGTATGTCACTGGGGGCTTAGAGGTTTCAAAAGCCCATGCTTTCTCTCTGCCTGCAGATCAGAAATCAAAGCTCTCAGCCACTGCTCCGGTGCTATGTGTGCCTCCATGCTCTCTGCTGTTAAATTACTGGTAGTTGACAGTTTCTGGGAGATTGCCAGGGCTCCAGTGGATGGCACTACAACCATGCACATAACAGGTAGCACTAACTGAACTTGGTGGGTTACTAAGTGGTGGGGGGCAGAACTTGGGAAGGAGATGTGGGGGGTCTGAGATGAATTGGAGGCAAGGAGTAAGGGACACATAAGATCAAAATATATCATACACACACGTGACATTCTCAAAAAATACAAAATATTGTATTTTAAAAGTTATCCAAGTTGTTTCACAAGCATACTATAATTTATGAAATTATTAATAATGCTTCCAAATGTAAAATCCTAAAGGTTACAAGGCTAAATATATGGGAGCAAAAATGAAATTTATAAAAGGTAACCAGGGTTGGTGAGATTGCTTAGTAATGAAGCTGCTTGCTATCAAACCTGACAACCTGAGTTCAATTATAGGTGGGAAGAGAAATGATTCCTGACAAATTTTTCTCTAACCTCCATACATGTGGCACATGTACACCCACCCCTACACTCACATAACACAATAAAAAATTTTTTTTACGATAATTGCCCTTTTTTGGTTTTTTGAGACAGGGTTTCTCTGTGTAGCACTGGCTGTCCCAGAACTTACTTTGTAGACCAGGCTGGCCTTGAACTCACAGAGATCGGCCTGTCTCTGCCTCCAGAGTTCTGGGTTTAAAGGCCTGCACCACCACCGCCCAGCTAAGATAACTGCCTCTTTAAGCCAGTAGTGGTACACATCTGTTCAATCATGCTGTGTTAAGATGAATGTCTATTATCAGAAGCTAGATTTGTTTATAAGCAACTGGAAAATAATAACAATTAATCTTCTCCTCCAGAACAGCGATTTGCCTTTTCTCTGGTCCATATACACAGAGAAAAGGTGCCTGTCAGCATGTTTCTGATTATAGCAGGAATTGCCATGGGGTATCAGGGAAGTAGTGACCACCCTTACCTTCTTCCCATCTTAGTTATGTATAAAAATAAAGATATATTTGGGTAGTCAAAACAACCAACACAGTATGATTCCCAAAGTCAGTCCCAGGTCTCATCCTCTATCTTCCACATGGATTTCTAGGTAGGCATAGATATCACTGAACCAAGCACTTGTAGTTTTTTTATTCTAGCCAACCTGAGACATGAACATAAATAGGAAACTGTTTCAGCTGATAAGGTAGAGTGCATACTTACTATCCTAAGAATCGGAAGGCCGAGGCTAGAAGACCCTGAGTTTGAGCTAGCCTGGGCTAAAGAGACCCTTCCTTCTGACTACCTACCCCCCCAAATACTCTAAGCAGTGGCAGAGGGTTGAGTTTGGTGAATACTAGATAGAGAACCAGTCAGCACGATGGTTCTATGGTTACATAAGGGAGCTTTCTGCCAATCCTGTGACCTGTTTGAATTCTGGGACCCACATGGCAGGAGAACAACGACTGGCACAGGTTCTTCTGTGACTTCCACAAGCATGCCACAGCATGTGCACACATGCATACACACATATAACAAATATAGTTTTTAAAATAAAGACTAGATGAAAAACCCTGAAGCACAAAGATTATAATCATGCTGGCATAAAGCAAAAAACAGAAAGACTTAGAATATAGATGATCACATGATTAGAAGGGCACATCAGCAACATACTAATTTTTTTCTATAAAAGAGAAAGTACCCCAAAGTAATAAATGGTGGGTATACACTGAGTGATATCTACCAAAAGAAAAAACCTCAAATATACCAGATTGGATGAACAAATCTTTTTTAAATAAAAAAAACTTCTTTGCATGTAGTAGAAAAGAAAAAGTTAAGTCTTATTACCTAATAGCTGCTATACCGTGTCCAATTTCATGTACAACACCACTAATGAGGACTGCAGCGAAGAAGTAAGTCAGCTGATTGACAGGTAAATTTATACCAGGAACCTGTTCACAGACATAACAAAGCAAATGATTATCAGTGTGGGTACAGCAGAGTCCTATTTGTAAATAAAGAGGCATGACCTTAACTCTGTCTTACAGCTGAAACCTCCAAACTTAATATTCCATGATCTAAAAGTATTATGGCCATTAATGATCATTTTTTATTTCTACCATAATTAAGGGGAAAAAAGCAATGTTTTGTTTTGTCTTAACGTAGGCTATATATCACACTTTCAATCAAAAGAAAAATGGGAAGGACTGCATTAAAAAGTTATATATCTAGATTCCCAAGAGCTTCACCGTGGGACAGAATGAAGGTGTCCTGAGTGTCAGAGAAAGCAAGGTGACAATGTTAGTGGTTGATCCATCCCTTTTTAAAAGATTTATTTATTTAATGTATGAGTGCTCTATCTGCATGTACAACCTTATACCAGAAGAGGGCATCACATCCCACTATAGATGGTTGTGAGCCACCATGTGGTTGCTGGGAATTGAACTCAGGACCTCTGGAGGAGCAGCCAGTGCTCTTAACCTCTGAGCCACCTCTCCATCCCCATCCATCCTTAAGGGTTGGAGGCTCAATTAGGGAACTCTTCTTAAAATTCTTAGTCCTAGCCGAAGGTAGTAATGCCAGCACCCATGCCACAGAGGCAGGTGATCTCTGAATTCAAGGTCAGCCTGATCTATAGGGCAAGTTCCAGGACAGTCAGGGTTACCACAGAGAGACCCTGTCTTTTTATAAGATTTCAAGAGCTTGGACTGAGTCATACAGGACATTGTCTCCCCTATAGCAAATCAGTGAGGCTCTTTTTAATTCTCACAAGTGATAAGGAGGTAATAAAAGGTAATGGAAGAGCCTGAACACATGTTTCTTACAGTAAAAGACTTAAAACCCAAAAGAAATCTCTCTGGAGAAAAATCCCTTCCTTCATTTATGAATTATTATGTGAATACTAACTAAAAGTGCTTAATACAGGCAAATTGGGGTCTGGAGAGATGGCTCAGTGGTTAAAAGCAGTATACTGCTCTTGCAGGGGATCTGGGTTCAATTCCCAGCATCCACATAGTGGCCCACAATTGTAACTCCAGGTCCAGGGGAATCTGACACACTGTTCTGGCCTCCTTAAGCACCAAGTCAACACATACACACACATGCAGACAAACACAATCTTACACATAAAATACAAATAAATAAATCCTTAAAAAACAAAACAGAAAAACAAATAGAAGCCTATAATCCTGCTCACTTTGCAAACACAAAACAGAACCATTCTTAATGCTTTGCCATCTTTCTAGTCTTTGCCCTACACACCTACTTTCAAAAATTATACTGGAATTATAAACATGATTTTGAAACTTGTGTTTTCATGCAGTATCTCTTCATGTATTTTCTAGTTCTATGCTTATTTTTTTCTTGTCTTTTTTTTTTGGAGACAGAGTCATATATACAGCTAAGTCTACCTACTAAGAAAAATCCTCCTGCCTCAGTCTCCAGAGGGCTGGCATTACGTGTCTGCATTATACCATACCTAATTCAACATGAATTTTTTAGAGCTGCAGAGATGGCTCAGTAATTAAGAGTACTTGTTCTTATAGAGGATCCAGCACCCGTGTCTTGGCTACCAACAATTCATGATCCAAGTTTCAGGGAATCTGAAATAATCCAAGTGTAACAGGTGCACATATGTGGTGTACATATATGTATTCAGGCAAAACATTCATACACATAACAAAAATAAATCAAAAAATACTTTTTAAATTTATTTTATGTGTATGAATGTTTTGTTTGCATGTATGTATGTGCACCACATATGTATCGGGGGCCCATGAGGTCAAAAGAGGTCATCAGATCCTCTGGAACTGGAGTTATGGATGCTGGTGAGCCACCATGTAGGTTCTGGGAATCAAAACTGGTCCACTTTAGAGCAACAAGTGCTCTTAACATCTGAGCCACCTCTCTAGCCACTACCTTGTTTTTAGAGACAAGATCTCTCTCACCAGAACCTGGAGTTCAATAATTAGGTTAGGCTGCCTGGCCAGAAAGTCCCCAAAATTCTCCTGCCTCTACCTTCTTACATTAGGATTGTGAGTGTGCACCATCAGGCCTGGTTTGTTTTTTGTTTGGTTTTAAACCATCATCTCAATATGGTTTTTAACAGCTGCATTATATTCTGTGGAATGGGTTGTTGGTCATTTATTGCTTTTTGTAATTATTTTTGTGAATTGATTATTCAATTCTTAAGGTGAAGTTCTGTGTGTGTGCAGGTACACATAACTCTCTCTGAACACACATGGCAGAAGCTTAAGGAGGATGCTGGGTGTCTTCCTCTATTGCTCTCCATCTTAAACTAATTAATTGTTGCATTATATGTGGGGGTAAATACTTGCTACAGTGTGCCTGTGGAAGCTAGAAGGAGTTGGCTCTCTTCTTCCAGCATGTGGGTCCTGCAGATAGCACTAAGGTTATCAGGCTTAGTTGCTAGTGCCCTTACCCACTGAGCCATTTTGCTGGCCCCTTTGTACCCATGTTTTGAGACAGGGTTTCCCACTAAACCCAAAGCTCCATCATCTCAGCTAGGCTAGATGGCTATCCAACTCCAGAAATGGGCCTGTCTTCACCACATGGTGCCAGGGCTGCAGGCTGCAAAGACACGTGGGTGCTGGCAATTTCAACTCAGAGCCTCTTGCTTTCACAGCCAAGTGCTTGTCTACCTGCTGAGCCATCTCTTCATCCAAAAAGCGACAAATTTGACTTAGCACAGTGAAATTTTCTCTCAGCTTATCTCTGTGCTACTTCTTATAATTGTTTACTTATGTACTGGCTGGTTTTGTGTGTCATCTTGACACAAGCACCACCCACACTGGGCTGGGTCCTCCCCCATCAATCACTAAGATAATACCTTACAACTGGATCTTATGGAAGCATTTTTCTCAACTGATGTTTCCTCATTATAAAGAACTCTAGCTTGTGTCAAGTTGACATGACTAGCCAGCACAAATGATCCCTTGTCAACTTGACACACACACATCACTATTAGGCCACAATCCTTCCTTTCTTATTCATCAATATCTCACATTAAAGTAAAAATAACTTTAAAAGTCCCACAGTCTTTACAAATCCAAATACATTAAAATTTCTGTCTCTTTGAAATATCCAATCTCTCTAAAAAATCCAGAACCTCTTTTAAAAGTCCAAAGTCTGCCGGGCGTTGGTGGCGCACGCCTTTAGTCCCAGCACTTGGGAGGCAGGAGTTCGAGACCAGCCTGGTCTACAGAGCTAGTTCCAGGACAGCCTCAAAAGCCACAGAGAAGCCCTGTCTCGAAAAAACCAAAAAAAAAAAGTCCAAAGTCTTTCAGTTGTGGGCTCCTATAAAAATCAAAATTATATATCTTCACATGTCAAGAGTGAAGAACCAGGGCACAGTCACAATCAAATCAAAGCAAACCAAACTTTACCTGTGGAAACAACACAATGCCCAATGTCTGGGATCCACTCAAGATCTTCTGGGCTCCTCCAAAGGCTTGGGTCACTTCCTATGCTCCATCCTCTGCAGCACACACAGCTTGTCTTCTGGGCTGTGGTTGGCTCCACTCCACTGCTACTGCTGCTGCCCTTGTACCATTGTTCTGTCACCTCCAAACTGCTAGGGTCCTCTGCTGCAACTGGGCTGCACTCTCAGCATCTCTGCACGACCCCTTCAATCCTGGACCTTCAACTGCCACTGAGGCTGCACCTTCACCAGTGGCCTCTCCTGGCCTCTCCCAGTGCCAAGCCTCAGTTGCTCTCCATGACCCCTTCATGCCTTCACAACTAGTACCACCTGGGTGACTCTTACTCATTACCAAGTCTGGCTGCCAGCACGAGGTACAACCTTGGCCACCTCTGGAACACAGGTTCTTTGTGCTCTCAGAAAACACTTCCCAGAAGATGTCACCCTAACAATGCCAGATTCTCAGCTCTAGCTGACTTGCATCTAGTATCCAAGCACTGCAAAGGTTTCACTTTAGTAGTTCTTGTGTCTTGTTGATCACAGCTGATTCTTCAGCCCAAGCTAACCACAATGACAGAATCTTAAATCAATATACCAAATGGCCTTGATAGTTTTTATAATCTTCCCTCTGAAACGTCACAAGCCAGGCCTCCATCCTGTGTACTGCTCTCAACATTATCTTCCAAGCTCCCACAGAACATCCCACAGAGCTCTTGACACTCAATAGCTTTTCTAGCCCAAAGTTCCAAAGTCCTTCCACAATCCTCTTCAAAAGATGGTCAGGTCTGTCACAGCAATACCTCACTATGCTGATACCTATTTGTCTTAGTTAAGGTTTCTATTGCTTTGATGAAATGCCATGGCCACAAAGCAAGTTGGAGAGGAAAGGGTTTATTTGGCTTACACTTCCACATTACTGTTCATCATCGAAGGAAGTCAGGACAGGAACTCAAACCAGGCAAGAACCTGGAAGCAGGGGTGTTGCTTATTTTATTGGCTTGCTCCTCATGACTTGCTCAGTCTCTTTTCTTTTATTTTTGTTTTTGGTTTTTCGAAACAGGGTTTCTCTGTGTAGCTTTGGAACCTATCCGGGCACTTGCTCTGGAGACCAGGCTGGCCTCGAACTCACAGAGATCTGCCTGCCTCTGCCTCCCGAGTGCTGGGATTAAAGGCGTGCGCTACCAACACAGAGCCAGCCTGTTTTCTTTTAGAGCCCAGGACTGCAAGTTCAGGGATGGCAACACCCAAAATGGGCTGGGCCCACCCCATCAATCACTAATAAAGAAAAATGTCTTACAGATGGATCTTATGGAGGCATTTTCTAAATTGAGGATTCCTTCCTTTCAGATAACTCTACCTTGTGTCACACTGACATACGACTAGCCAGCATTGACACATGCATCTTATTAAGCTGCTTTGTTTTTTAAATATTTATTTTCTTATTTTCATTGGTGTTTTGCCTGCATGTGTGTCTGTGAAGGTGTCAGATCTTGGAGTTAGAAACAGTTGTGAGCTACCATGTGGGTGCTGGAAATTGAACCTGGGTCATGAGCCATATCTCCAGCCCTCAAGCTGCTTTTAAAAAGACTTAGCTGCTCGTTTTAGTCAATCTGCAATCTCAGTAGTTTATTCATCACCTGGCTGGTTTTTTCCTAATGTAGTTCATTCATGTATTTGTTGTTTTATTTGAAACAGGGTGACATGTAACTTAGTAGGGAGACTAGCTTGACCTTGCACTTACAGTGATCCTCCTGCCTCTGCCTCCTGAGTATTGGGATTACAGACACACACTACCGTGTTTAGCAGTCTTCCTCTCTTTCTTACTAGTCTGTTAACTACATTTCAAAACACTAGTATTGGTCCTTTGTAATACATGTCAGAAATGTATCCTCCCATTTATTTGACATATAATCTTACTTGGCTTTTAATTTCTGATATTAAAAAATTTAGGGGTTATCAAATCTGTATCAATATTCAACATTTTTTAAAACACCAAGACTGACTGTAAATGTAAACCATGCACCATGGGTGATGATGGCCCATTGGTTTACATTTACTAACAGTAACAAGTGGACCACTCTGGTTGGAGTAGCTGTGTTTGTGTGGGAAGTACATGGGAAATCTCTGTATTTCCTCTCAATACTGCTATAAACTTAAACCTGCACTAAAAATAACATCTTTAAAAATAAAAAAAAAACTAAGAACAAAGAAATACTGTTTAGTCTTACATAAAAACATCTCATAGTTTTGATGTTAGTTTTATGTCTTCATCATTCCATGTTCAAGCGAATTAAGAGCCTGATTTTTCCTTTTCTTTCCAGGACTTTTGTGACCCTGAGTTTTTAACCACTCTCTCAATCACACTTTGTTTGGGGCTGCACAGCAGATTCGTTTCACGTTTTAAGCCTTGTAATCAAAGAGGGTTTGCAGAATGTGGTTCAGTCATTTTTGAAATTCCACCGATTCTAAGTGCATACTCTGCTTATGAAACCCATTTTCAAAATCAACATTCTTAATGTGTGTGTGTGTGTGTGTGTGTGTGTGTGTGTGTGTGTGTGTGCTGTCTTATTATCTGGAATTCTCTTTACACAGACCTTACTGAACAACTTCTTTCTTCCACAAATATCAGTGTCCCGTGTGTTCCACAATTTCTCCATTCCCATGCTGGGTAAGTCATATGTTCAGCTTAGTAGCTTTCCTGTTTCTGACACCTCTTTAAATGTATTCCCTTAAGATTAGCTCTCATACATGCCATCTAGCTCATAAAACAACCTTCACCAAAGCACAGCTTGCTTTTATTTCAGGTAACTCACTTCATTTTATGCAATCAGCTCTTTGTTCCTTCTGTACACTGTCTTCTGGATACACTAAAGTAAGTAAGACAAGGTTAAGAGTCTGAGTTTGTGACTGACTGCAGCAACAGATGGCAGGTCTTATTGGCTGGCAACAGTACAAGATGACCATCTGTCTCTGCCATGATTGTAGAGAGTATTAGATGTACCAGAACACTGAAGGCAGAACACTCTTTCAACAGCGCACAGTGCCAGGGTTGTGGGAATTAATACCGAACAAGGCTGCAGGGAATTAGAGAGGAAGCCAGAAGTATGTTCCTTTAGCTCCAAGGACTATATCAAAGACAAGAGACAAGGCGTTCTTAAAATTATACACAAATATGCATGGTAGACTACCAGGCTTCTGGGTTTTTAATGATTCCAAAGCACGGCACACCTGGTATTTTTATGAACGCTGAATAAACTGAGAAGCAAAGAGAAGAATAATTTCTTCTCTACATGACAATTGCCATTGGAATTCTAGCAGGCAGACAGGCCACCGAGCAGATTTTCTCTAAACAGGCTTCCTTCCCTCTTTTATCTTGAGCACTAACTAGTTGTATAACCAAGAGTCATCCTTAAACTGTCCCTGCACCATACAGCTTCACATTAATCACTGAGAATTGTAATGAAAAACCATCACCTTTATTCTTTTTCTTTTTCTGTTTTTTTTGTTTGTTTGTTTTTGTTTTTTTCGTGACAGGGTTTCTCTGTGGCTTTGGGGGCTGTCCTGGAACTAGCTCTTGTAGGCCAGGCTGGTCTCGAACTCACAGAGATCCACCTGCCTCTGCCGCCCGAGTCCTGGGATTGAAGGTGTGCACCACCACCGCCCAGCTCATCACCTTTATTTTTTTTCTCCCCTTTAGAAACTATTTGAGAATTTCATACATAGAGATAACATGTTTTGATCAAATCCACTCTCCATCCTCTACACTCCAACTCCTTCCTCATCCCACCCCTACTTTTCCCTCCCAACTTCATCAGTTTTTTTTTTTAACCCACTGAATCCTCTTAGTGTTGCCACTATGTGCATGGGTTAGGTCCATCTTCTGCATGAGTACCCTCTGAGGGTCCTTCATTCTCTTTGCTACAAATTTACTTTAAACCCTTATTACTTCTAACATGAATCATTCCATCTGTACTCTTAAATGGTCTCTCCATTTTAATCTAACTCCCTTTGGCCCAATTTGCACACAATGCTAATCTATAGGTAAAAGAGAAAAATTCTAGAAGACTTTCATGGTCTAGATACTAAATCTATCTTCCACCTTATCTCCTACTTTTCATATAGTACACTTACCTAAACATTCACCATATTAGTCATAGGGGTAGGTCAAAATTATATATACTTTTTGGAATGAATGCTCCCTCCCTCCCTCCCTCCCTCCTCTCCCCTTTAGCCACAAATTGAACCCAGGGCCTAATGCATGCTAGGCAAGTGATCTATCATGGAGTTATGCCTCCCAACACTTTGTTTTACTTTTTACTTTGGGAGAGGTTCTCACTAAGTCGCCCATGTTGTCCTTGAACTTACTTTGTAGCCAAGTCAAGCCTGCAATCCTCTTGCCTCAGCCTCCTGAGCAGTTGGGATTATAGGCCTGCATCACTAGGCCTGGCTTATTTGTCTTTTTAAAGCACTACAACATAATGTTTATAGACTCTTATCATCACAGATGGACACACTATTTACTAACTGTGATCATGGGCAAATGATGTAATGTCTCTGGGCTTTGGTTTTTTCATCTGCAAGTCAGGGAGAACAAAATAAACTTCATCAGTGTATCCTACCTATTGGCCATGTGCTGAGAGAACAAAATAAAACATATACAGAAACCTCATATGGAAAACATTGCCTGTTACCTACTTATTTATGATTACTATGATAATTCCTAGTGTTCCATGCTATAGAGATCACCTATTCCTGAGGTGCTTAGTTTTCAGAGTCCCATTTCCCTTTTCCAGGCTATGTGAACTGTCCTTACCCTTCTGCTCTCTTCCTTCCTAGTGCCAGGTACACCTTACACTCCTTTTGTTGCCACAGCACCTTGTATAATATCCAATCAAATAACAATCATAGAATCTCACCTTCTAGACTAAAATTTCCATGAGTGTGAGCACTGGGTTTTATTCCCCAGGTAAATGGGACCCAAAACATAGCTAGCAGGCAAAACACACTCATCAATATTTACCGAAGAAATACATCATGTCTTATGCAGCTTCACCTAACAAATTGTCTCAACTTCTAAGAAGGAGTTATGACCATCCTTTACTATTCTCTATAAATCACATCTAAGTTTTTCCCCCATTGGCCCAGCTTAGCAGAGGTCACAGATAAGATTTATTCTTTTTTTTTTAAAAAAAAATGTTCCTAACCCTTAAGTGTCCCATTAACATGAATATGATCAAATGTAACATTTATAAATCATAGAATGGAAACTACAAGTATAAAAATGTGGGTGAGAAATACATAAAAAGCTGAAAAAATATTAAGCACAAGTGAGCCAGTGTCAACACTCTTGAAAACTGACAATGGCAAAACGTAAGAGATAAGAGCAGGGGCTATAGCTCAGTAGAGCACTTGGCTTATATGCATGATGCTGTACTTTCAAACCCCAGTACTGCCAAAAGATAAGATATAAGCCTACACATGTGCTTTAAAATAAGAATTATTATAATATCTTATAACCAAAGGAATAAAACCTAGCACATTATTTTTTACATTAAGAAATCACAAGGTACAGACTGGGGACATGGACCAGCAGTTAAGAGCACTTACTGCTTTTGCAGAGGACCCAGATTTGTTCCCAGTATCTACACAGTGGCTCATGACTGTCTATAACTACAGTTCCAGGAAATTCAATGCCACCTTTTGGCCTCTCTGGGTACCAGGCATGCATATAGTACACATACATGCAGTTAAAACACTCACACACACACAAAACAAAACACATAAATCTTAAAAAAAAAAAAAAACCAACATAGTTGTAGTGACTCATATTTGAAATTGCAGCTCTTGGAAGGCTGAGGCAGGACGATCTCCATGAGTTTGAGGGCAGCTTGGGCTATAGAGAAAATGCTAGGCTAGTCCAGAGACCAGAGTGAGAGTCAACTTCAAAGAAATGACAGTGAGCATTCAAAAATGTCTTATACCTTTATCCCCAACTGTAGCCTTCGGCTTTTAATTAAAAGGAGATTACTGGTTAAATTCTGAAGATGATGAGAAGGATAGGGGAGTGTTACACAGCACCAAGATATATTTTCTTCCATGTTACAGAGATCTCAAGTCAGAATGCCTTCTCATTTCACACCTCCAGAAGACAACCTGAGTGAAGGGCAACCTGGAATGGCCGCCTGTCTTATTTGTGGTCAGTTTAGCCTCTGCTACAGGTACTGCCACTGCCATCAAACACTGACAATTTCTGCTTAATGTCATGCTAATGGTTTTTGGTTAAGTATGTAATTTGAAAACTTATGAGGTATTTTACCTTAATGTTTATGTTATACACTGTATCTATACCAGTCAGAAAAACATATTTGTGTTTTCAGCAATTTAAAGCAAAAAAATTTTAAAAAAGAGTACACTTACCACAACTTGCAACACCTGTTCATTGTGAATCGAGGAGGAAGAGGAAGAGGAGGAGGAGGAAGAGGAAGAAGAGGAAGAAGAGGGAGAGTCAGCCATCATCTGCGCCAAAGTCTGCATCAGTGTTTTTCCAAGGAGAAAAAATGAGCTGAACATGGCAATTACACCAAACACCATTCCAAAATTGAACCTGGCAACAAGGACAAAAACAAACATGTAAGTGTACAAGTCTTCACAATGCATACACTAACAAAGTAACTGACTGGCCATGTTTCCTAACTTTTAATCAATGGGTAAAAAGACAAATAGCTGGCCTTGGTTTCCCTACCTAAACTATCTGACTGACTCATAGGCAGTTCTAACAAACCATAATACTCTGACACCCCAAAAAGCTGCATATTATTGTCAATTTTAAAAAGGGGCTGGGGAGTTTCCTCTCCATTTGATCATTTATATAGCACTGGCTTGATTGTGTTTAATATAGTTAACAATGCTCTTAACACTGGGGCATGCATTCATTTTTCATCCATTCTACTGTCTGCATCTTATTTTAGCTTCACTTTGTGATAAACTAATTTAAATATCAATGGAGTCAAATTTAATAGTTTTATTATTCTGTTGTTTTAGTAATTAAAACTACTCTTTTACAGCTGGAACTAATCTGTTCCTTTTCATAAGTTCTGTTGTAAAATATAAGAATTTAATTGTAGAATTGTTTGTAATAATATTATTTTTGTTTTATTGTTCACATAATTTGAAGTACTATTTTCTTTTTCAGTTATGATTTTTAGTTACTGTTTTTTCTTAGTCATGGCCTAGGCTTAATTGATTTTATTTGTCTTTTCAAAGAACTGAATTTTAGCTTTGCCTAATTATTACTGTATATTTTGATTATTTAATTCTTTACATTTAGATTGAACCCATTTGGAACTTATACTTGTATAGTTGTGAGATATATATATGTATATATATGTATATATATATATATATATATATAGAGAGAGAGGAGAGACAGAGACAGAGAGACAGAGAGACAGAGAGACAGAGAGAGAGAATGAGATCTCCCTATATACCTATATACCACAGACTGGCCCGGAACTTGCTATGTTGTTCAGGCTTCCCTCAAATTCTCAATTCTCCTGCCTCAGTATCCTGAGTGCTGGGATTCCTACTTGGAGCTTTATTTTTCAAAAAGTAATTCACAGTACACTATTCATGAACCCAGAATTCTCTGGACTAAGAAGCTGTGATGGGGAGCTGGTGACATGGCTAAGAGGTTGATTGATTGATTGATTGAAAGCATTGACTGCTCTTGCAGAAGACCAAGGTTCAGTTCCTAGTACCACATGATGGCTCACAACTGTCTGCCACTCCAGTTCCAGGGGATCCCATACCTGCCTGGCTCCTGTGAGTACTGCATGCAGGTGCTACATATTCAGCAAAACAAGCATACAAAATAAAAATACATAAATCTTTCAAAAAGAAATTATTAGGATATTAGGTATCCCAAAAACCATAGAAAACACAAAAACATAAATTTCCCTGTCTTATTTACTTGTTTATGTTTTTATTTTATTTATTTTTACTTGATTTGAGTCCTCTGGAAGAACAGCAAATGCTCTTACCTACTGAACCACCTCTCCCGCCTCCCCCATTTTTACTTTTTGCTTGTTTGTTTGCGACAAGGTTCTCAAAAAGCTCAGACTGGCCTCAAACTTGAAATCTAACTTAGGATAGCCTCAAACTCCTGTTCCTTCTAGAACAACAGGTATGCACCACTATGGTCAGGTGCAAATGTATGAAAAAGCACAGTGACAGAGTCTTATAAGCTACTTCTGATAAGCATAATTTAATTACTAATTTAACCCCCAAAATTAAAGATAAAAAGTACCATTGGTAAAGCATCCTTGCTTTTCGCCGTCCCCAACTGTAAAAGGCACGATTAAAAACTGAAGTTTGCCATCTTATATGGAAAGGAGAGATGCTCAATCCATTCTTTTCCAGCCAGTCTTCATAAGAATGTTTAAAATACACAGATGACTAAGAGAAAGAACAGTTCAGTATCACTCAAATTTGAAGGACAGATTTATAACATAAAGAACTAAAGATTAAAATAAAGAAAATAAGTACTTCGTATAAGAAATCAAGATGTTAGTGGCTCAATAACAGTGGTTCTCAACCTTTCTAATGCTGGGACCCTTTAATACGGTACCTCATGTTGTGGTGATCACCAATCATAAAGTTATTTTTGTTGCTACTTAACTATAATTTTGCTATGGTGTTTTCTGATGGCTTAGGTGACCCATGTGAGAGGCCATTTGACCCTCCCCAAAGTGGTTTCAGCCCAAAGGGAGAAACCACTGATTTATAGTATTTTTGAGGTAGTTTCTCATAACCCAGCTGGCCTCTAGTTTCCAAATAGCCAAGGATGACATTGAATTTCTGATCCTCTTGATTCGACCTCCCAAGTGCTGAGATTATTGGCATTTGACAACATGTCTGGTTTAAGTAGTGCTGGCAGCAAACCTAGGACACTGTGCATGCCAGGCAACTACTCCACAAACCCAGCTACAATCCCAGTCTCAAATGCTTATAATCTTAAAGCCTTACATTTATTCTTCAAAGTACTACAGGTCTCTGATTAATTTAGGGTCCAGGGAAATATAGTCTAAAAGCAAAATCTGGTTTATAGCCTATAATATAAGAATAGGGTTTTTTTTTTAATTTTTAAGGGATAAAAAAATCAACTGCTGGGGATGAGGGTTATATTAGTTACTTGTGTAGATACTGTGACAAAAGGGCAGCTTTAGGAAGGGTTTAATTTGGCTCACAGCTCCTGGGTATTGCCCCTCACAGAGAAGCTATGGGGGCTAGGTGGGGAGGAAGTTGGTGGCTGAGGTATCTGGTCACATTACATCCCCAGTCTGGAGGCAGAGGGAGATGAAAGCTTGCGTTTAGGTGTTTAGGTGTTTAGGTGCTTTCTCCTTTTTTTGTCCAGTCCAGGACCCCATTCCATGGGAATAGTACTTCCCACATTTAGAGATGGTTCCCCCCCACACACTCAATTATCCTAATCTAGAAAATCCTTTGCAGCCAAGCGAGGAGAATTGTTTCCATAGTGATTCTAAATCAACAATCAAAAGTAGCCAGCACAGTAGTGTGTGCCTGTAATCCCATTGCTTCACTGAAGAAGGAAAGATAGAAGTATCTCTGCAAGTTCACAGCCAGCAAGGTTGACATCATGAGTTCCAGGTCAGCCAGACATGCATAGAGGAATGCTGTCTCAACCCTGTCTCCTCCAAACAGACAACAAAACCCAAGAATATGTAACAAAACCCCCATGAACCATAAAGCTTAAGGTACTTACTATTCTACCCTTTAAAATAAATACCAGCCTTGCCAGGCAGTGGTGGCATACACCTTTAAAACCCAGCACTGTGGAGGCAGAGGCAGGCAGATCTGTGTGAGTTCAAGGCCAGCCTGGTCTATAGACCGAGTTCCCAGACAGCCAGGACTACATAGAGAAATCCTGTCTCAGGCAGGAGGGGGGAACCCAAACCTCACCTCTGCTTAGAACCATGAAGTCCATAAGAAATATGAGTCAAAAATGCAAGCCACATCTAATTTAAACTGTCTCGTAGCCTAATTTTTAAAAGGAGAGATTCATTTTCTTATATTTGCATACTATCCAAGCTATCATTTTAATGTGTAACCAATATAAGAACACTGAGACATTTGTTTCTAGTATTCTTTGCAATGTGGCATCAAAATTATACTCATAACACATCTCTACTCAAACAAGTTTTTTCAAATGCTAGGTAGCCACATTTAGCTAATGCCTACCACAGTGGACAGCACAAGGCTATTTTATTGCCACAGAAAGAAAAGGACTATCAATATCATTTTTTAGTCTTTCAGTGGATTCAACAGAACAGATAGCTTAGTTTGAATCAGTATATTCTATTTTCATCTATGCAAGCCTCAAGTTAAACCAATTTTGAGCAAATGAAAGTACAAAATTTACCTACTGTCCTCTTGGTGTCAGTAGCAGCTCTTAAATTTCTCCAGGGGTTGCAGTGACAGCTGCTTATAAACAGTTACAAGGGTCTTATCTTTTAGAAAGGCTGAAGTCCTTGACTAAGGTAGATCTATAAATACGAAGGCAGTTACAGAAAGCATTGGAAGCACGGGCATCTATATGAAAAATGCATTTATCCTACAAGGCTATTTCAGCTCTTTTACCATCATAAAGAAATGACCTGATTCTGAATGCCAGTATCTGTACTTGTCTCTACTGTCTTCTGATGGCATTTTAAGTTCGCTTGTTTTCCAGGACTTGAAATGGAGATTGGCACACCTGTGCAGCAGTGGTCTGCTGTGGAAAGCTAGAAAGATCAACCGTAGAACAGCAGACCAAGAGAAGGTGAATGTTCTAGAAAGGCAAGTTCTGGAGTGCTGGAAAGATGGCTTAGCCCATAAAGCAGTGCCTGCCCTTCCAGAGGACCCAGATTCAAATCCCAGCACCCACATGGTGGCTAAGAACCATCTGTAACTCCAGTTCCAGAGGATCTTACCACCTCTTCTGGCCACCAAGGCACTAAATGCATATAGTGTACATACAAGAAGACAAAACATCCATATACACCTTTTCTTAAGGCAAGGCCTCTCCATTCCCCAGATTGTGATCAGCGCCATCGCTCAGGGTTTGATGCTTTCATGAAGATAGAAGATGCTCCAGAAATTGAAGCTACATCCTTATCACTCACTTATTTGACCTGGGACTGACTGGACAAGTTTGATGAGTTCTTTTTATTTGGGATTTTTCCCACTTACAAGACAAGAAGAAATCACATGGCTTTTTCTTCTGAACCCAAAATCCAGGAATCACTGTAACCTGTGCTGCTAAATTGATTGCATCAGTGATTCCCAAACAAATGTGCAGAGAAATGAGTGGGAGGATCTTGGTAAGCTGCAGACTGTGATTGTACAGGTCTAACAAGTGCCCAGATCATCCAAATGTTATTGGTCATTGAACCACAGATTTATGTAGTATATTATGGATATGCATTAATATAATCCTCTCCATAATTTCAGGCGATCCTTCCTATTGTTATCCCTATGTAAAAATAAGAAATGGAGGCACAGGTAGTAATCTGCCCAAGATCACAAAGGTTAGGAATTGGTAGAGCCTAGCCCTCCTAAAGACTATACTTCATAGATCTGGCTTTAAGGTTTAAATATGACGAAGAAGCACAGGGGCCATTTCATTTTATTGTTATCTAAGACACAACACCATGTGGCATTTTGTTTAAAAGAACACATGAAGGTTTTACTTATTATTCAGGATTGTAATTTTTAAACCCTTGGGAATTTCTATGCTCATATTCTCTATACCCATTCCATTCTAAGGTTGTCTAAACCATGTGCTCAGACAACTGTTGAAACTTCTTACCATTCCAACACCCACAACACTTAAAAAACGCACTGTATGCCCAGGGTGTGTGTCGTCACTATGAAGAAGGGAGTGTAGGGTGTGAGTTACAATTTGAGTAGTAGAAAACGTGTCTATCTAAATTCTTTCTACTTAAGCATGGTACTTTAATGCATGGTCTGTGAGTCAGCACCGTCGGCAGGACAGAGAAACTGGTTGGAAATAACAGAATCTTAGCTTTCCTTCCAGACCTGCTGAATCAGAAGCTAAATATTAACCGAAACCTCGGGTGCTCGTGTGCAGTTTCGAGTTTGACACCGGTGATTTAAATTACGATTTGATTTCGATTTCTCCCAGTACCAGCAGCGTGTATCGGGTTGTAACCTTAGCACAAAGAAGGAAAACAATGCCTTTTCCTAAGCGGATGTTTTAAGTTTCTTTCCTCCTTCGAGCCCTGCCTCCCAAGCCCACACTACAGGCTCCTCCCGGGAAGGAGCCAAAAGCTGCAGGGCCCCCTCCCCCGCAATGCAGCAGCGGCGCAGGCCGTCACACCCCTCCCGCAGCCTGGCCTGCTTTATTTGTTCGGCCGGACGGATGCACCACGCGGAAGGGCGCACACACCGGCAGAGCGGGTCCCAACCCCCCGCAGGGAACTTGGCAAGGAGGGAGGAAAGGCCTCGGACAACACAGGACCATGCGCACCAGCCCTGGACTCTGGCCGGTTAAGGCCTTAGGCCCGAGGCCCTCACCTTCAACACCAAGTCGGCCAGGTAGACGGCAGTCCAACCACCCACCACCACCACCACCAGCGACACAGGAATCATAGTAGCAGCGGATGGACGGCGGGCCCCAGCGTCCTCCTTCTGCGATCCACAACCAGCCGACCTCCTGGCGCCTTACAGCCCCGGCATCCGCGCAGGAACCAAGTTGCTACCGGTTCCTTTGCCTCGGTGGCAGCGTTTCCCTCCGGAGCCTTCCGGTGAGGACGCTCAGCCGGTTTTGTGCGTGCCGGAAAAAGCGCGGTTTTCTTTTCCTGGTACGCTCCGGCTGGGCGGTTTTAGAAGCACCTTGCTTTCGGCTGCCAGAGTTCTAGTGATTGCTTAGGCTTGACCCGCCCAGCCGTCGGCTGTCCCTCCTCACTGATTCTCATCTCCAGTTTGTTGTGCTTTTTAACTTAAAGGGTGTTAGCAGAAATGATACACATCCACTTTCAGATTAACCGCTTCTGTAACCGGTTTATTTACACTGACATCGTAATGGAAATCTCAGTTGGCCGTTTTGGGGTTTTGATAAGTGTAAATATCTGTCTGTGTACCTTAATCCAAATATGTAACATTTCTATCCCTGGAATTTCCTTCTAGTTTAACCTTCCTAGTCATCTCCGTCCCCCGTCCGGCTCTTGTTTATTAATATCTAATTTTGCATAAATAGAATCACACCGTTTAAACGGGGATTATTTTGCGCGATATTTAAAACGATATGTCTATAGTACTGGTTTTGTTTTTAAGACAGGGTCTTACTATGAAGGCCTTGCCTGACATTCACTGTGTATACCAGTCTGGCCTTGAACTCTAAGAGATCCACCTTCAACAAAACAACTGGCTGCTGATTAATTTTTTAAAACTTTTCATCAAAAACTTGAGATCGGTGCTACTATTACATATTGGATGGCGCTCTAGGGCTGGCGAAATGGCTCATCAGGTAAAGGCACTTGCTGCCAAGCCTCACTATGTGAGTTCAATCCCAGGGAACTTGATAGGAGCGAACCAGCCCTTTCAGATTGTCCTTCGATCTACTCACACATAAAATAAGTAAATAAATAAACCAGGTGAAATTTTTAAAAATTGGAGCATTGAACGTCTGCCCAATGAAGTAGAGTGCAGTTCTCACCTTTGGTTGCCCATTAACTTCACCTAGGGCCTTTAAAATTCCTGATACTTATTGTACAGCCAGGACCAATTAAGTCAGAGGCTCTGTGAAACAGCCTCAAGTCTGTATGGTTTTTGTGGGTTTTTTTTTTCTTTTTTGATTTTTTGAGACAGGGTTTCTCTGTGTAGCTTTGGAGCCTATCCTGACCAGGCTGGCCTCAAACTCACAGAGATCCACCTGCCTCTACCTCCCGAGTGCTGGGATTAAAGGCATGTGCCACCAATGCCCGGCTAAGTCTGTATGTTTTAAAACTCAGTCATGTCACTGTGTAGCCCAAGTATAGATCCACCAAACTAGATCATTTCCTGAGGTAAGGATGTGGGGCTTTAAGAATGCCAGCGATACACTGTAACTAACCTTGAGCTACAACCCTTAGCCACACTGTATTCTCTCTTTTTAAAAAACAAAGTGTCTATCCCTGACTTACCTCAAATCCCTACACAACAGAAGTAACTTCTGGTCCTCTTATTGCCACTTCCTGAGTGCTAGATACTGCTGGATGCTGGGATCAGTAGAAATGAAACTAAGTCGCAAGGCTTAGTCACAGGCAAGGCTTTATGGGGACTTGAGATCCAGAGCAGAAGGGAGCTAACACTAAGCAGAAGCTATCAGGCTGCTTAGATGAACAAAGGGAGCAGCATGTTTTTTACTGATTCTTTTTTGGAGAGAGTGGGGGTGGTTTGGCAATTGTGTATTAATTGTGGGCATCTTTTCTTTTTTTTTTTCAAGTGATAAGTCTACCTTTTACCTTCTTTTTTAAAGATTTATTTATTATTTATACAGTGTTCCCACAAGAAGGCACCAGATCTCATTACAGATGGTTGTGAGCCACCATGTGGTTGCTGGGAATTGAACTCAGGACCTTTGGAAGAGCAGGCAGTTCTCTTAACCACTGAGCCATCTCTCCAGTCCCGAGGGCATCTTTTCAATAGATGTTCTTTTTCTTTCCAGCAAACATCTTGGTCTTGTACCTGATGGGCTAAATTTATCCAGGGAACTCTTGAGTTTCTCCTGTTGCTGGCATCGTTGCTTTTCTAAAGGACTTTTAGAACTTGAGCCTGGAGCTGTTGAGTTCCTTTTCTTACTGTCATCACATGGCATAAATGCCCTGGCCTCATGGTTTGCTTTCTACATTATAAGGCTGAGGGATATTGTACTTGGGCTGCTACAAAGGTGTAAGGGTTAGGGAGAAAAAAAATGTTTGACCAACTGGTAATAAGCCACATTAGTCTTGAACTCAAAATATCAACATCTCCATATAGAGAACTGACTGAGTAGAGTCAGACTCGAGGGTTAATAGAGCAAAGCCAGGTGTGGTGGCTCATGCCTATAGTCACAGCACATGGAAGGCTGAGGCAGAGGGATTGGCATATCTAAAAAGGCTAAGCTGAGCTACAGAGAAACCATGTCTGAAAAAATATGACAACAAAGGGGATAGATTCAATGTGAAGACAGATGTCAAGCCATTTTGGTCATCCATTAGATAGCCATAGGCTCTAGAAAAAGAGGGTTTTGTTGTTTGTGGAGTTTTTTTTTTTCCAAAAATGGCCTTCAAGTTTCTGTAAAGTCACCTAGACAATTGTTCTAGGATACATACCATAAGTGTTGTCTACAGTGAAGCTAGTTGGAAATTAATCCCTGATTACTTAAGACCTGGTGAACTTAAAGGCCTTATTTAGGTATATTCCCGATAGCAATTTCTCCTTGCTTTTATTATTTATATGCCCTGATTTTTTACTTGGTTCACTCATATGGAAATAGTAATCTAAACATTCTGGCCTTGTGGCATAATGTGGTATTGTGTGTTATGTCAAAGCTGTTGAATGAGCGAGCATGCTATCACTGGAGTCAGAAAAAAAAATAAAAGGTGCACCTTATGTTTAGTGACAGGCTCACTTGACAAGCCTCTCTGGCTTCAAAACTGACTGTTTTACCTATTTGTATACATTGTTTTTGTGTTATAAAGGACTTGAATTTTCTTTTAGTGTAAGTAAGTTTTAAATGTTGACATTCAAGTACCATGTGAATTCATAATTTTCCCAGTGTTGTGTTAACCTTTGAGAATTTCTGAAGTATAAATGCTAGCTAGCCACTTACAAAAGCCATTACTTGAAAGGTTATTTAAATTTATTTTATACTTTAAACTTCTTTGTTTTGTTTTGTTGTTGTTTGGTTTTTCATGGCAGGGTTTTTCTACATAGCAGCCCTGGCTTTGTAGACCAGGCTAGCCTCACACTCAGAGATCCACCTGTCTCTGCCTCCTGAGTGTTGGGATTAAAGGTGTGTGCCACCACCACCACCCAGCTATACTTTAGATTTTTATTTTTAATTTATAACAGTAAATCTTAAATGGTTTTGGATTTTTAATCTTTTCATCCCTCTAACAAAAAATGACAGACATTGGCTGAAACAAAAAGCTAAAATATATTTACTGCTCAAAATTTCACAAACTAAATAAACAAGACTGAAAATTTTATTTACATACCACTTTTAACCGTTTTTTTTTTATAAATGTGTTAGAAATTGTAGTTCTGAATTTCCAAATCTGTTGCTACACTTTTACATTTGATTTGACCTTTGTTTGCTTTTACATAATGGCTCTGTCATTTTTAACCTTATTCCTTCCTGGGAGGAGACTATGAACTCAACAATGGAAATGGCTTCTCTTTTGTTAGCCTGGAGCTTTATCTGGCCCGCTTGCTGGGACAAGTACCGGCTACTGCGTGGCTCTCTGATAACCCGAGATGTGAAGGAAATGAGTTGATTGTGATTTTCTGTTCCCAGCCTAAAAATTTAGTTATTCATCTGAGTTGATTTTCCTACCGGGAACCCAGCAGTCAAAACAAAGCCCTGAATTGAATCCTGCTGGTTGCTGGGATTTAGCCATAGTGGAAGCCAGTTGGTGGCAGCAGAAGAGGAAAGCTAGGAGACAGAATGGCAGTGAGGAAAGCCGGGATTAAAAAAGATCAAGGTATTTTTTCAACAGAATAATCTTGTGACTTAATTTGCAAAACATTTTGAATTTCTGTCAAGGAGCTATTTTAAATAAAGGACACATAACTGAGCTTTTTTATTTATAGAATTTTCAATTCTTACATTATTTTAGAGGAATATCAAATATGTATTTTGACTGAGTGCAAACAGCTGCATATTAAAAATTCTGCAGAAACAGAATGTCACTATTTTCTAAATTCTGAGAAACGTATACATGAAATATAAATTTTTAAAAATTGTATAATTTTAAATTAAAGCATTGGTATTCAGTCATTGAGTAATATATTTTCAAAGCATGCTGTAGTGTGAATATATTATTTTTCAATTAGAATATTAGTATTCAAAAGTTGAGTTTGCTATTATATGCATGAATATTCATTTCTCATCAATTTGAGCTAATCATTTGCTTCTGGGGTTATTATTTTTTTACATTTCTGATACTACATTTTACCAACCAGGATTAATTAGTATGTGCTATTGAGACAAGCTCTCAAATTCAGTGGAATTATTTACTTTTTAAAGATTTATTTTTATTGTTTTTAATTGTGTGTTTGCAGATGCTCTTGGAGGACAGAGGTATTGGATCCCCTGAAGTTGCAGTTGCAGGCTATGAGCCACCCAACATATGTGTTAAGAATCAAACTCACTCTAGAAGAATAGATTTGTTTGCACTACATATCTTCATGACATGTCAGGTTACACAGATGGAAACATAGCAATCGAATGGAGACTATAATTTTATCATGTCCAGAGTTCCAGACGAGGGTTAGGATTCATCAAGGTCGAAGAAAAGGTGATGGGGACTCCACCACTGGTTGTGCAATGCTGTTAGTCCTGATAGGCAGTGCTATTTCTACTAATGCTTTATTTGTACAGACTACTCAAGGACAGAGGGAGCCTAATCCTTTGTGTATCTAGAAGTTGAGAAGAAGCCAAGTAGGTTCTCATTTTCACTTAAGGGGGAAGGAGGAATAACAGATAGAAACTGCCTGACCCTGCCATCACCAGACATTTATTAGCGTTCATGCTGCTATAAAATTAAAATTGTTAAGTGTTCCTTCTGTTGAGAAGGAATTCACGAGGCTAAAGATTAACCTTCAGAAGCTGTACCACAAATGGAAGCTTTGATTACCAGGTGAAGAAAAGTCTTTTCTGAATCTTTTTTAGGAGTAATTTCTTTTTCCTTTTTCTTTCTTACCCCCCTTTTTCTTTTGCTTGCACTTAGCTTTACAGTCAGTTGGATAAAATTTGTCCTTCCACTTTGTTCTACAGATATGACAGTAGAACAGTATAATTGGCCTTCAAGAAGCCAGTGATCTTGGTCCTTCCATTTTCATTTTTTATTGTATATGCCACAGCATGAGCACCTTCTGGAGTAGAATGAATGCATCTTCAGCAGCTGTTATGTAAGAAATATGCACACTGTGAAAACATTATTTTTCTGAGGTTCCAGCAATCCAGTTGTATTATCTGTAGGTAGTTTTAATATATTGACATATTTTTCATCTAAAGTATATACTTTTGTTTCATTATGATGACTTTTAATATGTACTGGTTGTGATGCTATCTTGTTACACATTTGACAAAGGTACTTCTAAATTCTTTGAACATCATGTAATTTACTGAGGCTGGATGAATTGGCTTACTAATGTTCTGATATGAGGGAAGTATACAAAAATATGCTTATGATTCTTAGGTTGAAAGACCCCCAGAGGCTCAGGCCCCCAGGATCTCAGTCCAGGACTGCAGCCACCCCAATCACCAGGTGGAGTCGAAAACTTGATGCAAACAGCGCGAGGCTTTATTGTAGTTGTTTTATGAGCTAACTCCATGTTAGCTCGGGCCTTTCATCCATCCACCATGGCAGATGGCTAGGGAAGACGCTGCGAAGCCATGGCATAGAGATCTTATAGGGCAGCATAAGGGGAGTGTCTAGGGGTATGCACAGGCTCAGGATTAGTGTGCCTCCAGGCTTTCCCTGTGTTGATTGGTCAACTGGTTGTTATGGCCCATAGGACCTCCCAGGGCGATTGCTATGCTCTTTGAATCATTGCTGTGCACTTGCCTGCAAAGCACACCCAGAGCCATAAAGCATAGCACCACCAGCTAACTTCTGATTGGTTCCTTGCCACGAGACAGGCATCTGACCCCCTACTGATCAAGGCAAGGTCAGGCAAACACTTGTTAGACTGTTATGGCTGCTGAAATGGGGAGCTGGTCCCTTCATTGTCACTCTTAAACTTCATTGAGTTTGCTATGTTATTGATAGCAATAATATGACTTGCTTCTTTATGTATTTTCCACTCCACGTATCGGTCTTCAAATTGTGTTATGTTAATAGCTGTGTAAGACCTCAACAATATCCCAGCAACAAAGCACAAGTAGAGCTGAATTTATCAGCGATTCATCATTTGTCCAATTTCAGTGTGATTTGTAATTGTTGTAATTGTTTCACTGCATCTAATCTGTGATGTCCATATAAAGTAGCACATTTACTAATATTATAGCCTTTCTGTACTTTGCATAATGCAATTCAAAAATGTTTTTAATAATAAATTTTGTAAAGGAGCCTAAGTAGAATTCACAGCTTCAGCAAATGACAGAAATTCCTCAGCTATATTTACTGAATAGAGGCAAATGTCAATCCAGCTGTCACTGCTTTCTATGCAATAATCTTTGCCTCATTGTATTCATGCCTTTTGTAATCCATTACCTTGTTTTGAGCTGGATCTAGGGATAGGCTTTTATCAAATAAGACATGGAAAAAAATCATGTTTTCACATCTTTAATTAGGATATAAAAACATTGACTTCCATCTTGTTACTCTTTCTCTGTATTTTCTCATTTATTCTCAGCTGCTCTGTGAAAAGACTACGTGGCTTCTACCCAGCAACCAGTGAGAAGCTGAGGTCCATAGACCAACAGGTGGTGAGAAACTAAATCATGCCACAACCACTTAAGTGAGAATGGACACAGATCCTTCCCTAGTTGTGCCTGAGAAGACTGCTTTGCCATCAAACCCTTTCATTCCTACTGGGATGGCCCAGTAGTTAAGAACACTTGTTCTTCCAGAGAACCTGAGTTTGGTTTCCAATACTGATGTGAGGTATGTTATAACTACCTGTAATTCCAGTACAAGGGAATCCAACACCTTCTTCTTCTTGCCTGTGTGATCACCCAAATATAATAATAATAATAATAATAATAATAATAATAATAATTCCCATAAAATTTCAGATTTATATCTGGAAAAGGAACAAGGTCATAGTAAAAGTCATACATGCTAGGCCTCAGGCATGGTTAATTGCTACTTTAACATTCTTTGTATATGTGTGTGAGTGTGTAAAGGTGTAGGTTTATACATGACCTGGGACATGTGTGGAGGTGCTGGTCTTTTCTCCGCATCTTGTTTGAGATACCCTCATGTTATTTATCCCTGTTTATGCCAGACTAGCTAGCCTTCAAGCTTCTGCAAATGGGTCCACCATCTTCTGGAGCTTTCCTGTCCTGACTTCCCACCTTGCCATAGAAGCTCTGGAATTATAGCCAAGTGCTTTACCCACTAAGTTATCTCCTCACTCTCCATATTTAAAAATTCTTATTTGAAAATATTTCTTCATAAAAAGTATAGTTTCCGGTTATGGAGACGATGGTTTAGTTGGTAAAAGTGCCTGTCACAGAAGCACAAAGGCCTGAGTTTGGGTCTCTAGCACCCATGTAAAAGCCTGTTTGTCTAAACTCCTGTGTTGGGGGACCAGAGATAGATGGCTTTCTGGAATGAGCTCCAGATTCAGGGGTAGACCCTGTCACAAAAGCAAAACAAAACAAAATAAGGTGGAGCAGTGATTGAGGAGTTCGCATGAGTACACACATGCACACACTAATGGTACACATATGAACATGTGTACACATGTGTACCACACACACAAATTTAAGCAAGATTAGAAAAGGAACATCATCTCTAGGCTATATTCACAGTGAGTTTTGTTGCAATTCTTGACTCACATAGCAAAAGACTTCAACTAGACTTTCCATGTTCCCTTAATTTTCCTTGTCTTTCTGTTCTGCTTCAGAAGCTTAGTCGCTGTTCTATTGATATGAAGAGACACAATGACAAAGGCAACTCTCATGCAAGAAAGCATTTAATTGTAGGCCTGCTTACAGTTTCAGAGGTTTAATCCATGGGAAGCATGGCAGGGAGTATGGTAGCACAAAGCAAAAGCAGACATGGAACTAGAGAAGTAGCTGAGAGTTCTCTATCCTGATTTGGAGAGAGAGAGAGAGAGAGAGAGAGAGAGAGAGAGAGAGAGAGAGAGAGAGAGAGAGAGAGAGAGAAAGACACACACACACACACACACATACACACACACACACCATATATACCCACACACATAGAGACACACAAAATGAATGAATACATATTCAAAGTTAATTTTCTGTTTCCTCTTCTATTTCTTTTATGGTGGACTTAGAAAGAGAATCTAGGATGATGAGATGGCTTAGTGGTAAAGGATCTTGCTCCCAAGCCCAAGGACCCAAGTTTAAGCCTCAGAACATACATGGAGATTGAGCCTCATGACACACATGGAGGTAGAAGAGAATCAGTCTACACAAGTTGTGGGATGTATTGTTATGAGGTAATTCCAAGTATTGTCAGCCAGTGGATGCACATGAACTTTCCCAACCATCCTTTGTCTTTTATGTACAAAAACCACATCCTGGTTGACTCACTTCAGTGAGCAAGAACAGGTAGGAAAAAATCAAAACCACAGAAGCCAAAAAAGCAAAATTAACACATTTAGGGACTTTCCTGGATCCTGGAACTATGGACTAGGTCTTTGATGGATTAGGTCTTTGTGCCAGTCTTGGCAGGTATTGGGGCCTAAGTGCTAGGTTCTAAGGTAAGAATGGTATGTCTAACCATAATGGTGTCAGTTGTGCTAAGGTTTGGGATCCTGTGGCATATATGTGTCCATCCCTGAAAGAAATAACATGTAATGAAAATTTTTCTTGGAAGTCTATGGGGCCTCTGGCAGTGGAACCAGTATTTATCCCTAGCGTACGAATGGACTTTGGGAGCCCATTCCCTATAGAGGGATCCTCTCTCAGCCTAGATACACGGGGGAGGGCCTAGGCCCTGCTCCAAATGATGTGACAGACTTTGATGATTCCCCCATGGAAGGCCTCACTCTCCCTGGGGAGTGGATGGGGGATGGTGTTGAGAAGAGGGTTGGTGGGGGGCATGGGAGGATGGGAGGGAGAAGGAACTGAGATTGATATGTAAAATAAGATTGTTTCTAATTTAAATAAAATTTATTAAATTTTTTAAGTTCACTCATTAAAATAGAGAAAACAGAGGAGGAAATCTGAGAGTTGATGGGAAAGAGGAAAGGATTTAGTGAAAAACTAAATCAACCCTGAGATTAAAAGATTGAATGTAGGAAGAGATGAAGGAAGGACTCTGTGGTAATTAGAGTGTTTTGAAGTTTGATCAATAATAGGTACTGTGTCCACTAAGAGGGATTTAGGTAGGAGAAAAAAAACCAACCTTAGGATACTTGCTGTTTATTGTGGTTTAAAAAATCTGGCCTTTAAATACTTTGTCAGATTCTATTTTTCTTTTATTTTGACATATTAGTTATGTAGAGTCTGGTGTACAACTTTAAAGGTTCATCTCCCTGAATTTTGACATATATTTAGAGCTGTTTCACCACCATAGAAAACATCCCAGGACCCCACATCTTCCCCCGTCCCCTTCTTAGTCAGCAGTTCCCATATCCCTAAGGACCAGTGTAATTTTATCCTGAAGCACACAGGCGCTAGGGTTGGATGATCTCAGTTTAAATTGCAACTCTACTATATCTCAGTTGTGCAATTTTACAAATTGCAACATTTCTTTAATGGTTAATCTCTGTTGTCAGTGTGACTGAATTCAGAATTATCTAGAAGAGGGAGTTCCCAGAGAGGTTTAACTGAGTAAGGAAGATCCACCCTGGGTGTGAGCAGCACTGTCCCAAAGGCTAAGCTCCTGTGCTGAATGAAAGGGAACATGGGCTGAGCACCCGCATTCATCTCTTTCCGCAACATTGTCCTCCCAGATGTGAGTCCCAGTCATACTCTCTTGCCACCAGGAACACTATCATGCCTTCCCTCTTAAACCATGAGCACCCCCCCCTAAATACTTGCCTTGTTTTCTGGTTACTAGTTTTTCACAGTAACAAGAAAAGTAACTAATACATTTTTCCATTTGTAAAATGCAGATAATGTTAAGTGTTTTATCTTAGTTAGGGTTTCTGTTGCTTTGTTGAAACACCATGACCAAGTTGGGGAGGAAAGGGTTTATTTGGCCTATACTTCCATATCATTGTTCATAAGTGAAGGATATTAGGACAAGAACTCAAACAGGGCAGTAACCTGGAGACAGGGGCTGATGCAGAGGCCATGGAGAGATGCTGCAAGGCTTGCTTCCCCTGGCTTTCTTATAGAACAAAGGACCACCAGCCCAGGGATGGCACCACCCACAATAGGTTGGGCCTTCACCTATCAACCACCAATTAAGAAAATGCCCTACAGGATTACCTACAGCTTGATCTTATGGAAGCATCTTCTTAGTTGAGGTTCCCTTCTCTCAGATGACTCTGCCTTTGTCAAGTTGACACAAAACTATCCACCACATGGGGTTTTTCTTTGTTTTGTTGGGGTTTTTTTCAAGCAAAAAAATATTACTATGAGCTACTTCTCATGCAGTGTGTGCAATACGAATTTTAAAAGGT